GGAATAATACTATAAAGTCAAAAGCACATGCTTGGCTGGAAAGTGACACCTGATCGCAAACCCTCCCGCATGTCAATTCTAATTCGCTTATAAGGGCAGAAAAGCTACTACGAACGGAGCGGCAGAAGCCTACGGCTACGTAAAGCCGCTAAAGCCGCTCGAGCTCTTTCAGCCGTTGCTGGCGGGCTTCGGCGTGTAATCTCATCCACAGCTCTTCCTCCATCGGACAATGGTGCACCGCCCGGTCCAAGACTTCCACGGCGTCCGCCACGTCGGCCAAGCGGATCCTGAGCTTGCTTGCGGGCGGGCGGGCATGGAGGCGGAGGGGTAACCCGGTCATGCTGCTTAAGTAGGTCTCCTTCAGTGGACGGTGGTGGTATTGGTCTCCACACTTCCTCCGAACCGATCAGGGCGGCGTGCTTGGACCGAGCGTCGTCTCGAGCGGTCCGAGCGTCGGGTGTCCAACTCGGCACGAACTCGGCTCGCAGGTCAGACGAAGGTGGACAGGTGATGTCGGATACATGGCTTTCGGAGGTTGGCACAAGCTTTTTCCCCTCCTTCTACCTCACCCTAACCCGACTCCCTTGAACCTGTCAAACAGAAAGAATGATGCTGTGGGCATCTCCCCCATGGCATTGCCTGCTTCCAAGTCTCCAATGCCTGACCTCCTTTGGGTCAAACTGCGTGCAGCGTAGCAACGCACACGCGATCCGCTCCTTCTCCCCGCTCTGCTCCTCCAGCCGCAGCAGCTCCTCCGCGATCTCCGCCGGGCTCGCGCCCGCCGCGCCCGAGGGCGCCGTGGAGACCATGACCTTTTTGGCGGTCCGGGCGTCGGCGGAAGCTCCGAAAGACCGGTGAAGACAGGAAGTGTTTCAGATGGCAAGAATGGTGTTGGATAGTTGATGATGATGATGATGATGATGATAATGAGGAGGAGGAGGAGGAGAACGACGAGGAGAAGGAGCATGTGTTCTTTTCCTTTCCAAGAGATTCTGATTTCTGCGGAATTCTCGCCTGATACATCTGAGACAGTGAGTCATGGTGATAGTGTGGATGGTCATGGCTGGGATCCCAGCGCCATGACCCTAAAGGAAGGACCTTTTGTGCGCCCAAAACAGCCGCCCCCAAAAAGAACCCATATCAAATGCACGGTGGTTTTTAGGACATTCCAATTTTTCGGTGCTTTTTGGGCCACCCCTTGTTTTCCTCCCTGCTTTCAGGCGGAGAGTCACGGTCTTCCTTTGGAACCCGGTGGTGAAGGAGTTCCCGTCGTGCTGCATCCAACGGACACGAAGTCGTTGGCGCGGCGTCCAGCAGGAGCTGGTGAGCTGGGTTTTGGAGGGCTTCCGGGTCACCGTCAAAAGTGAATGAATCGCCGAAAAATCCCGAACAACCTACCAGGATCATCCTGGACCTGGGTCTCCTGGCGAGACCGACTACCCGACTCCCTATATACGGTCTACCAGGTCTCCAGACCTCCAGGGCACCCGGACTGTGTCAGTGCTAGGTACGAAGGATTTCTTGACGCGACGCTTCCGGACGCATCGTGTTGAGTGGTTTTTCGCCGCGCCGAACCACCGAAGGACGGCGGAAGAACGCCGCGGTCATGGAGTCCGGGCTTACCGTTCCCCCATTCGGAGGAGCGCTGTGAGGAGCTAATTGAAAGAGAAATCTTCAGAAAAACATTCAACGATCTTGGGTGTATCCCAGCATCAAGAATATACAAAAACCGAACTCTAAGACCCACAGTGCTTCATTTGACTTGACCATTCACTATTCATTCTTGGTGGGGATCAAAAACAGCCCCAGTCTTCACACACAAGTCAAGCTAGTCACCGACTTAAAACTTATAACTCATAACCCTCAAAAAGAACGGGAAAAAAAACATGTCTGTTGCTGCCAATTCCTGCTCCCTTCCCCATGCCTTCTTCGAACACGCGGCGATCAACCGCCTCGCCCTTCAAGTCCGAGGCACCAACGAGGGCCGACAGGCCTCGCGCAGCTTCAGCTCCAAGGGCTCCCGCGGCGCCCAGCGCTCGGCCGCCGCGGCGCTGAGCGCCGCCATCTTGGCGTGGGCCGTGCGGCTCTGGAGCTTCGGCTCCAGGGCACCTGGAGAAGCACACCGAGGCATCGGCGCACACCGGCGCCGAGGCGGTGTGAAGGAATCGGACAAGGAATCCGGAGGATGAGAGAGGGGGGTAGACTCTGGAGCTTCGAGAGGTGAAGACTCGGGAGGCGTGGGCTGACGGCCAAGCCGTTTCTTTCTTGATGCATGAAGCTGTCCTTGAGACACTTTGTATAGATGCATTCCAACTTCAGCTGCATTTCCTGCGTTTGGCCAACGGGCACCTCTCAAAGGCACCGTCTCCAACGTGGCCTACGGACTTCGGGATGGTCAAGTTCACCAAAGAGCTGCAATTCCGAAAGGCGCCATCCCCGATGTGGGTCACTGAGTTGGGTATGGTCAAGCTTGCCAAAGAGCTGCAACTCTCAAAGCCGCATTGCCCAATGTGGATCACTGAGTCCGGGATGGTCAAGCTCGCCAAAGAGCTGCAATTCTCAAAGGCACCAGAAGCAATGTGGGTCACTGAGTGTGGGATGATCAACTTGGCCAAGGATTTACAATTCTTAAAGGCAAAAGTTCCAATGTGGATCACTGAGTTTGGCAGGGTCAAGCTGACCAAAGAGCTGCAATCCCGAAAGGCACCATCCGCAATGTCTGTGACTAAGTCTGGGATGGTCAAGTTTACCAAAGACTTGCAGTTCTTAAAGGCAGCCACCCCCATGTGGGTCAGCAAGTTTGGCAGAGTCAAGTTGACCAAAGAGCTGCAATCCCGAAAGGCACCATCCCCGATGTGGGTCACTGAGTCTGGGATGGTCAAGTTCACCAAAGAGCTGCAATTCTCAAAGGCAACATCTCCAATGTATGTGACAGAGTTTGAGATGGTCAAGTTTGCCAAAGAGTTGCAGTTCTGAAACGCACCATCCCCAATGTGGATCACTGAGTTCGGAATGGTCAAGTTCGCCAAAGAGCTGCAATATGCAAAGGCAACATCTGCAATGCGGGTCACTGAGTCCGGGATGGTCAAGTCCACCAAAGAGCTGCAATTCTCAAAGGCACCAGCTCCAATGTCAATCACTGAGGTCGGGATGAGCAAGTTGGCCAACGATTTACAATTCTTAAAGGCAACAATTCCAATGTGGGTCACTGAGCTCGGCAGGGTCAAGCTGACCAAAGAGCTGCAATCTCGAAAGGCACCATCCGCAATGTCTGTGACTAAGTCTGTGATGGTCAAGTTTACCAAAGACTTGCAGTTCTTAAAGGCAACAATCCCCATGTGGGTCAGCAAGTTTGGCAGAGTCAAGTTGACCAAAGAGCTGCAATCCCGAAAGGCACCATCCCCGATGCGGGTCACTGAGTCTGGGATGGTCAAGTTCACCAAAGAGCTGCAATTCTCAAAGGCAACGCCCCCAATGTATGTGACAGAGTTTGAGATGGTCAAGTTTGCCAAAGAGCTGCAATTCTGAAACGCACCAACCCCTATGTGGATCACTGAGTTCGGAATGGTCAAGTTCGCCAAACAGCTGCAATATGCAAAGGCACCATCTGCAATGCGGGTCACTGAGTCTGAGATGGTCAAGCTCACCAAAGAGCGGCAGCCCTTAAAGGCACTTTGTCCAATGTGGATGACTGAGTTCGGGATGGTCAAGTTCGTCAGAGAGCTGCAATCCTGAAAAGCAGCGTTCCCAATGTGGGTCACTGAGTCTGGGATGGTCAAACTGGCTAAGGCTGTGCAACTCTCAAAGGCATGGTTCCAAATGTGGGTCACGGAGTTTGGAATGGTAAGGTTCCCCAAAGAGCTGCAATTCCGACAGATCTCCCGAATGTGGGTCACCGAGTTTGGGATGGTCAAACTGGCCAAGGACGTGCAACTCCGAAACGCACCATCCCCAATGTGAGTCACTGAGTCTGGCATGGTCAAGCTCACCAATGAGTGGCATGCCCGAAAGGCGCAGAGCCCAATGCGGGTGACTGAGTCCGGGATGACCACTTTGGCCAGCAGATTGCAGCCTCGGAAGGCATGAGCAGCAATTCGAGCTTCGTGGTCTGGGACTTCAACCACAAGCAAGACCTCCTTGTCTATCTGCCTGCGAAAGCTGGCGATCGCGTATTGGTCAGAGCACCTCACGGTGTTTGCTTTGAAAATCACACTCAAATCAGCATCAAAGGCGCCATCCACAGCATCCTCCACCTTCTCATCATTTCCCAAGAGCCGATCTCCGACAACAATCTCCACCACAGTAGTGTTCCGAGTGGCCTCGTCCCAGGTCAGCTGCAAGTCTCTAACCTGCTGTTTTAGCTCTCTGCCTGTGGTCGTTGGTGTCACTTGAAGCGAAATCCTTGTGCCATTGACCTGTAGTGCTGAAAGTCTCCTCGCCATGGCTCGCCAGCGGTTGGCCTGAAATTGGTTGCCTCAAATGGATGTTCTTCTACCACGGGGGTCACCTTCGGACCTGGGGTTGACGGTCCCATCCGTCAGAGCCGTGGATGTGATGTGACATGTGCTGCCGTCTGCCGCACCGGGCAACTCCTTCCGGCACCGGCACCGGCACCCTGGACCTTCTTTAATAAAAGAGGAGAATCGCTGGTCAGGTCGAAAGACTGTGGGTTGAAACCACTGCTGTGGAGTCACTCTCATCAGAAAGCTGCGTGGTGAAAAAGATTACCATACAGGTCAGGAGTTCCTGACCTCGTGTTATAGGAGTGGGTCAAACCAGTTCACACGACTCAATCTACTCAATCAAATTAAAGGACCAGGTGTTATTGGGTCTTCTTCTGATCTTCGGACCGGCGCATGGAATCGGCCACCTTCCAATTGTCGCGCCGTGGAGCCCCTGCTTCAAACCACCTACTTCCTCCGTGTGAAAACCACGGTCGTTCCACCCCGCGGTCCGAGGACGGAAAACGCGCGTCCGTTCCGAAACCTCCGCTGACCTCATTAAGACGAGGTCGGAGGACCTCCGAGGACCCCGGGTCGAGGCGACTTAGGGTTTCTTTTGCCCATGCAGACACTCCATGTAACGTGTGGAACACCAACTTCAGTGGGTCTGGAGCATGAGAAGGTGGACCATTTTCCACTTCTTGAAACCAAAACACCGACTTCTTCCCGACTTCTTCCCGCACCTTCGAAGGTCTGGTGAGTTTCTTGAAGCCTCTCCCTCCCGGGCAACGGCAAGGCCATCTGCCTCATGAAGAGCGTCCTCACCTCGAAGCAGAGCGTCCTCACCCCCGCCGGTAGCAGGTGACTTTCGGTAGGCTTGCTGGCCTGCTATTTATAGGCATTTACCGCACCAGCTAGCTACGTATTTTACACAAAACATCACAAAACCAGGTCAAACAGTGTTTCAATGGTCTTAGGGCTTTGGGACGGGATGAAGACGTGTCTCCTTTAAGTTCTGGTTGAGAGGCGGAGAGGTCTGGAACTCCACTGCGACGCACGAAGCACGACACTCAATATTGAAAGAAGATGTTGCACCCAACAGAGCAAACGTCCTTGGCAAATCTTTGGAGAGGGTGCAGTGGCACCTCAAGTGATGCTATACTTACCCCATGCACCTATGAAAAAAAAATTTAAAAAAACAGCATGCCAAGCCGCTCGCTGCACCTGCAGAGCCTTCTCGTCTGCACCTGCTGCACTGAGCAAGTTCTCTTCGAAGTCCCGGTAGTCGGCCCAAATCTCCACGCCGTACCTGTCGGACGCGGCGAACGACGGACGTCGGACGGACTACGGCCGGACTCCACGGACTCAGACGGACTCGTCTCGGCGCGAGCGCTTTAGACGTCTCGGCTGACGTCTCGTCGGTTCGAAAGGGTTTGGTAACTGGAGAAGCCCGGATGGGCTCCAAGTACCTTCTCAGAAAGTGTTTGGAGTGGGTTTGGAGGGTCCAAATACCTTCTGAGGATGTCTTTGGAGTCCTAGAGAAGTACCATGAGAAAGCACGTTCCAATCGCCCACGGCTTTTGGGGGCGATCCGCGCACCACATGAAGCTCTGCTCCTCCCAGAAGCTCAGATCTGCAGTTCCAGACCCCCCCAACTTTCATCAACCAAGCTGCCCTGGATGCTGCCCCAGTACTTTCAAGGCCTCTTCATAGACCGAACGCACCTTGCCAGCATCGGACGACCTCTCTCGGTGTAGCGCGCAGCGCGCCAGCCAGACCTCGGCTCTGGCGCATCGCTGACGCCGTTGGTAGCGAGGAGTCGGCCATGGACTGGGAATGGAACAATGGATGAAAATGGGTGTCTATTGATCGCCGCTAATGGGATCGAGGTTTCGGGGTGGTTTTGGAACATCCATGGCCCAAAAACAGCGGAAGTTGTCACACCAGAAACTCACCAGAAACTACCTGACCAACACCCAAACCTTTGCCGAACCATCTTGGAATTTGGATGAGTTTGGACAATGGCACAGTTTCAGTGGACACCCGTATACTGGCTGAGAGAGTGAGAGAGAGAGAGAGAGCGCCAATCGACCTTCACCCTGCCATCCCCAAGCTCCATTGCGGCCCGCCAAGGCACAGGCCCCGTGGGGCACATGGCACAGGCCCGGCGGTGCAAGTCGTCCAGCGCCTCAACTTCAGCAGGTTCGGTGGCCAAGGGCAGTTCATCTTGGAGCCACTCCAACCAGAAGGACTCCGGCAGAGCCACCTGAGCCAGCGGAATTGGTCGGTTCTTCTTGGCGAAAAGGATTTTGGGGTCTGAAAGTGCCAAGGTTCTGGAGATGAATGGAGATGAACGACGGTAGAGGGCGGGATCAGATTTTGGGGAGACCCAAGTCATGGGAGAAATCGACATGAAGAGAAAGTCTGGGCCCCTTGGAATTCAAGGATGTTGAACAACCTGAACCTGGAAGATTCGCCCCAAAGGATTGAGGATTCCAACCATTTGTTGGTCAAGGCTCGACGGAGCAAACCATGATGTTTTCATATTCTTTCACACTACAAACCAGGGCAAGATAATTATGGTCTTTGAAGGCTACTAAGGCCTTTGGACCCTAAATCCCATTCGCCACCGCCGCACTCACGAGGAACCCATTTTCCCTCCCACCGCGCGACCCGATCGGCGGCCGCGTCCCGCGCGCGGCGGAGCTTCTCCAGCTGGGCGCTTTCCCGGAAGGCGCTCACCAGCGCGGCATGAAGCTCCTCAGAACCAGCAGAGGTCGAAGAGCCCGACCCATTCGACTGTCCCAGTTGGTTACAACAGGTATTTCCAGGTCCGACTCGTTCAGGTCACTTATATAACCTCTGTTGGACGTGCCTAGACCATCCAATTTGTACAACTAGCAACCCGACGTGTTTTTGCCCCGTGGCAGGGAGACCGATGTTTGGTGCCAACGGGTCGACGTGCAGAGACGACTGTAGACTTGAAGTGGCAGGTGGTGACCTGCCAGCCACCAATGGCCTCCTTGTTGGAACCTGTACCTGTTCCATGACCTTCCATGACCCCATCCATGGATGGGTCTGTACTGGCCTGGCCGAGCTCGCTCGCGTCGAGAGCGTGGTGGTTCCGGGCGTCGAACGTGCCTCCACTCGTTCGTACCCACCGAAGGTTGCCACACACACCCTCCCTACAAGCCCCCCACACAGGGTGCCGCGCATGTCATCCCTTGCCTTTGAAAAGAAGAGGGCCAACAAAAAGGCACCCTTGCAATGGCCTCTCCTATCACGTCCGTGGTTAACAATATGCCAGCACCATCGATTTACGAAGTGCTACACCCCCCCAAATAGGTCCATCGTGGCTGCAATCTTTGCAAACGAAGTGCTTGGTCGTAAGGATTCCTGAGCGCTGCGAGATCTCTGCGAACTTTCTGATGGATACACTACAGGTCAAGGATTGTGACTTCTTTCGATTGGATCCGGTGATGCAAAAACAGTACTCAATAAGGTTAGGGACAAAGGTTTACTTGCTCATTGGACTTGCAGGGGATGGTAATAAATGAAGTCAAGCAAGGTCG